AGAAAAATGTGTCTCTGGGAGACTTAGAGGCATTGGCAACCAGATATATTGAATTATCATCATGCTTCCGACATTAGAGAAGATCATATTTCCTCGTGATGAGTGCTCCATTGCTAGGAGATGAGAAAATTTTCACATATAGCAGATTCATCACTGTAACCTTTTCTGTGCTATAACCGTTGTTCATCCTACTTACAAAAGCCATCATTCCAACAAATAGAAACTCCTTTTCTTGTTGACAAACATAAATTTAAATTAAAATTTTTTTAGTCTATTTATCTCAAAAAACCGCTGGAGGAGTATCAAAATAAATTTGTGACCAGACATCAGAAACCGGAATGCGATCCAAGCTAACAAGTTCGATTTTTGTGAGTCCCACAGCCCAGGAAAAAGGATATCTGGCTTCATATTTTACGGCCAAAACTCCTCTAGAGGCACAAGCACCTCTTTTCGGAGTCGCAAATTTGCAGAGCTTTGGTAGACTTTTTGCCTTCCCGACTTGTTGCGCAGGCAAAGAATATGGTCTGCTCCTGTACTGCATTCTCAGCCATCAACATCGCCAGAGCTGGATCAGCCGATTGGTACGCTTTTGGACTTGTCTACTCTGTTTAACCACGTTGGCATCCCAGGCGGATGGCGTTTCGGCTTCCAATCTGGCCTCCAGCTACTTTTCCAGCAAAAATCTGAAAAACCTTTTGGTCCTTTTTCTGGTATTTAAGACTTGCGGCCTCATGGGCGATGGAGGCAGCAGTAAGCAGAATGGTAGTCTGGACAACTGTTGTTGTTGTTGTTGCCAGCAACCCAAGCCTCAGAAGACAGCAAGTCAAAATCGACAATCGCAGCGCTGCTGTTGCATGCTCTGCCCCTGTCCTTCACCTCCGAAATCCCCTCCGCCCCAGCCTCCTTCGAACTGTTGCTGCCTCTGTTTGCCCTGCTGCTGTTGCTGCCAGGAGCCGGCGCCACCGCCACAGCCGCTGCCACCGCCACCGCAACTGCCGCGTCCCAATCTCGACAACGAGTGTTGCTGTTGCTGTTGTCCATGCTGTACCTGCTGTAGCCTGCATGAGCTTTGCTTCACCGAAACGGCTGCAATAGCCGCGGCATTGTCGAGTCAGTCGGTGATCGCTGTTTTGCCGAACATCCTTCTCAGAGAGTTCGGATGGTATCCCGATGGGTGTTTTCAATCTATGAATAGAAATGCAACCAACTCAATTGCCAACTCAATTGGAAGCAAAGTAAAAGCGATTTATGATGGAAAACGAGACGATAAACTGCCTTATAGACCAGCAGCCTGGAAACTATCAAACTACAGCCTTGACGTTCAGAATTTGGTTTGGAGCATCTCGCCATCTCTGAGCGAACTGTTGGAGCAACCTGAATTTCCAGGTCTGGCACTGTTTGCTCCCAATATCCTTAAAAGCTGGCTCGACTAGCGGAATAAATTAACTTTAAGTAACCCCTTAGTTTTACCATGAAAACATTTATAGAAGATGCATCTATTTCCAAAATATCATAAGTCATGTTAAACGGAATTTTAACTAAAAGATTTTGATGTAATTGTCATAATGCAACATAACATAAAAATAGCCTGTATCATTTTACAGTAAAAAAAATTGTGGACATGTGGAATCACGCCTGCTTTTTAACTTGTGATGTGTCTAAAGTAAATTGTTTTCATAAGTTTCAGTG